AGCACAGGTGGCATCATGCGTGTGACGCAAGTCTGCCATGAAATCCTTAGCATGACGATCAGACATCTCGATGGATGGCAAGGACAACAGATCGGCCGAACCACGAGGCAGAATCGCATACACCAACTGGAACGCAGAGAAACCCGTCACCCTACTAATGGTCGAGTTGTGTGCGAACTCAGCCTGGCTAAGCAGAGCATCCCAGCTACGCAAGTTCTCGCCCACTAAGCAACGTAATAAAATCTCGAGAGAACGGTTGACGACCTCAGTCTGACCATCAGTCTGTGGATGGTAAGTGCTACTATAATCCAGGCTGGTATTGGCGAGAGGTCACAGGATCCGCCAAAAGTAGCTAAGAAATCGAGTGTCGCGGTTGGAAATAATAGAAGATGGAAGGCCATGCAGACGATACACCTCTCGAAAAAACAACTGAGTGACATGCACGACAGCGGATGTCCGCTTTCAGAGGATAAAGTGCACCATATTTGAAAAGCGGCCGATAACAACGAAGATAGAATCATGGCCCGCTGCGTCCGAGGCAAGCCCAAAACAAAATCCATAGTAATCGCACTCCATGATCGCGTAAAAATCGACAATGGCCGATAAAGACCGACGTTCGTCGCCACCCCCTTGAACACGTGGCAAACCCTGCGACGCTCAACAAACATAGACACATCACGTCACAAAGAGGGCCAGAAATATGAACGCTGAACTAGCTCAATGAAACGGTCGTCACCCACGTGACAAGCACCATGTAAACCCGCCATCAGCTGTAAGCGAAGACCGCAATCCAGAAGACATAGGCGCACGCCCTGGAAAAGAAATCCATCGGCCAACAAATAATCCTCAAAAGGGCCAGAGGACAAACGACTAATAATGGGGCCGAAAAAGGAGTCCGTCGCATAGTAGCCGAAGTAAATCGAGCCCACCACTGAAATCTACAGTGTTCTAAAAGTCGCTAGGCGGTCGACCAACGCCTAGCGCCTAGTCGGGGCCCAAAAATCAATATTAAATACCTTATTTTTTATTTATTTTAACTACCTACAAAATAAAACTATCTCAACTTATAATAAATTCACACACCAAAGTTCAAATAATAATATTAATATATATTAAAGAAAACATGAGACAAAATAATGTAATTAGTATTTAAAAAAAAAAACTGAAAAATTGCCGCCGAGCCCGCCTAGGAGCGCCTAGGTCCGCCTAGACGCCAAGCCCGCAAAGCCTGCCTAGAAGCGCCTAGGCCTGCCTGGCCGATTTTTTCTGTCGATTTGTACAAATCGAAGGCGTCCGGGCACCGCCTAGGCCGATTTTTAGAACAGTGGAAATCTGCATATCCGATATCAATATAGAACGTCAGCTCACACGTCAGTGATGCGATTAGAAGCCCACGGCCGGTGCTTCAAGATGAACGTGAACTGCTGCAAGTAATAACTCAACGTTGCATGACAGACAGATATGTTGTCCTGAGAAGCAATGTGACGCGAGGCCTCGTGATCGGTGTACAACACAAACTCTCGCACGAAGGTAGTGCCGCCAATAGCGCACAGTGACGACGTAGAACTCGATGTTTTAAGTGCTGTAGCACACCCGCGAGCCGAAAAGCTTCTCACTGAAGAACGTGACTGGTCACCCATCTTGGCCCAAGACTGCTCCGACCCACCTTCGAGGCGTTGCATGAAAGCTTAGAAGGTCATGAAAAATCGGGCAACACCAGGACCAGAGCGGATATCAGCTTTCTCTTCATCAGAGCAAAAGCCTCTGCAGCCTACGGGGTCCACACAAACGTCTTGCCCGTGAGGCAATTGGTGATAGGCACCGTGATAGAACTAAAATGTGAGATAAAGCACCTATAGAAAGAGGCGAGGCCATGAAAGCTGCGAGCCTTAGTGAAAGACGACGGGGTAGGCCAGTCTTGAATCGCCGCCATCTTGTTATCATTGACCCGAATGCCGTCAGCCGAGATAACGAAACCAAGAAAAAGGATATAATCAAACAAGAAAAAACACGTCCGCGACACTGCATATAAGGAATCTTTCAGCAAAATTAAAAGAACCGCATGAACGTGTCCCGAATGCTCTTCAATGGATTGGTTGTAGATAAGTATGTCATCAAAATAAACGACGACACCTGCCAATAAAATATCGTAGCACCCGATTCATAACACACATGAAGGTGCTCGACGCATTAGACAGCCTAAACGACATCACTAGCCACTCGAAGAGGCCCTCCCGGATGTTGAAGGTAGTCTTCCACTCATCACCCGAGCGAATACAGATCTGATGATAATCACTGCGTAGATCCAGCTTGGTGAAGATGAAAGCGCCATGTAACTGGTCTAATAAATCGTCCAAACATGAAATGGGGAACCGATAACGGACAGTGATCTTGTTGATGAACCGACTATCCACGCACATTCGCCAGGAAATATTCTTCTTCCGAATCAACAAAGTCGGGACCATGCATGGGCTGAGGTTGCACCGGAAGATTCCCAGCTGCAACAGTTCATCCACCTGATGTTGCAACTTGTCATGCTCGGCCAGGCTCAAACGGTAATGCGGACGGTTTGGAAGAGAAGCCACAGACACCAAGTCGATCTGGTGTTGTATGTCTCAGAGAGGTGGTAAACCATCTGGCAGCGCCTCTGGAAAAACGTCAAAAAATTCTTCCAGCAAAGGCCAAACGGTAGCCAGAGGGAATTTCTTGGTAGATGCGTCGGACCCCAATAGCAGTAGAATGAACGGGGCCTCGCGCATCCCATCCAAAAATGCCGTTCGTGAGAGAAATAACATTGGAGACGGAGTCTCCGCTGGCACAGACTGTGGTGGGGCTGGATGTAAGACGATCTTAACACCCTCAAATGTGAAATTTTAGGTGTTAAGATGACTGTCGTGCGTAGCAGCCCGGTCAAACTTCCAAAGTCATCCCAAAAGTAACTGACAGACATCAACAAGGGGATCAAGCCAGGGTTTTAGCAATTCAAGCAGTACATCCAATGGTTATCCTATACAGACAGGCAATATTATCCAAACTGAAGGGGATAGAGGAAATAGCAAAATCAATTTGTGGGTAGCAGGAACCTCTGTGAACAGTTGGGTGAAAGAAGTAATTCTCCTAGGGAGACAAGGGCAACAGGAAAGGATGTCAGTACTCATACCTCGGTGGAAACCTCTGAGTAATTAACACTCATCATTGAAGAAAATGCCTTATGTCTGACTCCTAAAGTAGTAAGAGACCTTGAAAACATGGAAGAGGAGCAAAGAGGTGGCGTGGAGGGGAACGATACAGTGAAACAAAGTGGCAAAAGCTGGAAAAAGAAACATAATAACCAGAGACTCTAAGGGCATTGTAAATAACACAGGAGACCGCTGCCTTAAAAGAGGTAGAGATATTGCCAATTTAGGTGAGGTGAGTACCATCGCAACTGCAGAAGTACAACAAAACAGTAAAAAGCAGAAAGGGGACCAAAGCAAGGTGGAGGTGGCTAGCCTTAAATAGGCCCAAGGTGATCAATGAAGCTGATGTTGTGGAATTGTAGACGTCTGGGTGGACCCTCTACAAATGCCGAGATCAAGAAATACATAATATTCCACCACCCTAGTATTATATTTATTTCAGAAACTAGAAAAAAAATAAAAAGAATTTGTTAAATCTGTCTGTAAGAAAATTGGTTTCTAGGATAGGTGGAAAGATGTTGATCCCCAAGGACAAAGTGGCGGAATCTTGTAACTTTGGCAACAGGTAGTTATTTTGTAGGTAATAGAACACTCTTTCTGTTAGTGGCTCTGGAAATCTAGAAATTTATGAAAATTCCAACGGAGCCTTATGCCTGAAAAAATAGTTGTTGACACAGTTATTAAAGAATGGGCTGAGTTCAGAGATAGTAGATTGCTGCAATTGGTTGTTTTTGGGAAGTAAAGGTCTAGGTCCTTATGATTCAGTAGAAATTTGCTCCCGATTGAAGACTACTACATATGATGGCCTTGGTCTGTAGCTTATATTGCTGTTATTATGATTGTTGCTTAAGGGAACTGTTGTCCTGTTGCCTTCAGTTGGTGTATGAAAATTGAATGGTGATGCCTTTGTTCCAGTTTCTCTTTTTCTTTGCCTTTGAATATAGCAGGTTGTTATAGTAGTTGTGGCTAGAATATCATTGAGAGTGTGTCTTTATGTACTTTATTTCTTTATTAGAACCAGTGGGTTCCTAAGTATATAAACTCTGTATTTTGGTTTGTTTTTATGAGTAATCTACCGTTTTTATGAGTACTATGTACAAGCGTAGAATTTGCTGGGGTTCAATATAGCTTTATTATTAGGTGGTCATGATATGATATACTTCCAAATGAGAATTTTGATGAATGTAAATGGAAATGAGATAGAAACTTAATAATAACTAAAGTTAATACGGTATTAAATAATTTGTATATGATTGATATGATAGTTAGGTGAGCTCTTGGGCAACTCTATGTTTAACAAAAACATTCACCCAAGAGATATATATATATATATTTCAGTACCCATCTTTACCCATGGGTATAACTGCTGATATGAGAAAAAATCGGGAGTTACAGACCATTGGGTCAATTTCATCTACTGCAGATTTTTGCCTATAGTAGAGTACAGAGTGTAGAGCAGAATTATGCCACTTGTGACGTAGCCCAAATAATAAATATATCCTTGCTCAATTAGGTTAATGTTGGACTCTAACTTCAGATGTGTACCGCTCTAGTTGAAAATGTGTTTTACTAAATTTTATGTTACCATATCATCATATACCATTACTCAGAATTGCCATTTTTGTTTCTAGCCCAATGCAACCACAAGCTTCATCACGTGATCCAAATATCAAAAGATAAACATCTCAAGTAAAGATGGAAACAAAATTAGGGCATCGAGTCCATCACAATTACAATAAACCAATCTTAATTCGGAGTCCATGACATGACTTGGAATTTGGACATGTTTAATTTATTCAAATTAAGCCCTTCGTGGACCCTAAAAANAACCGACCAAATTGTATCCCATATGAAAAGATCAGACCAAATTGAACCCTTCCCCTGTGAAAAGTTGCTCATCCCTCTCCACACATCCATCCACTCTTACTAATGCCAGCTGAGAAGCAGAATGAACAAGACAAGATATCCATGAAAACAGTAGTAGACTAAACATGTTCATGCATATGACTCACTTATGACAAATCCAATCAATATAGGTGTGAGTAGACTAAACATGTTCATGCATATATCACATGTATGACATATTCAAACCAATAACAAGAAATAAATAAAATTGAAAATTTTCCATAACAGCAAAAACATAAGCAAGAAAAGAAACAAGATACGTTATATATTATTATATATCTTACCTGGGATATCTAGCTCGAACTTTTATCTTTGTTCTCCTCTGCTACTGCATCGGCCACGAGGGTTAATGGTCTCTCGTCTATGACCTCGTCTATAATCCCAAATTCTTTCGCTTCTTGAGGAGTCATGAAATAATCACGGTCCATATTCTTCTGAACAATCTCAAGAGGCTGACCAGTGTGCTTGCAGTAAAGATCATTCAATGCATCCCAAACACGAATAATCTGCTTCGTGTGGATGCTCAAATCCTTAGCTTGCCCGCTGTACCCACCAGAAGGCTGATGTATCATAATAGTAGCATTCGGAAGGGCCCGCCTCTCGCCCTTAGCACCAGCAGCTAGAAGGAGAGAAGCCATTGATGCAGCTTGACCGAGACAAATCGTATTTATTGGAGATCGAATGTACTGCATTGTGTCGTAGATAGCAAGACCTGCAGAAAATGGTAAATTACTAAAAGCACAGTGAAAGAGTCTCATAAAGTATTTACATCAATTATATGTCAGACAAAAATTTTAATAGGAAGATCTTTTCCTTAATAAGAATTAAACATCAAATAAAGCCAAATGACAAAAATTCTTTACTGAATTTCCACTATTTAAATGAGGTAGTAAATTTTATAGGAATGTCTTTCCTAATATTTTAAAAATAAGAATTGCATACTAAGTAAAACAAAATGAACACGTATATTGCACATCGGTAGAGTTGCAGAAACACAGAATCCTTCACAGGAATTTCAGTATTTTAAAATCATCTGAATATTCAGGATCTATAAATGAAGTTCGATGATGAAGGAAGTGATGCATGGGGAACTCCATCTGGTGGATAATAAATACAGCATTGTTTGGAAATTAGACACTGGCTTATTAAAGAAGTTTCATAAAGGCGATTGCTGACTGGCTAAAGGTGATGCAGCTTGAAATGGTGCCTAAAGATAAAACTGAATCTGCTTGCCACAAACATGTAATAGGACTTAGTACAAGAGGAAGTGGAAGAATCTCTTCTGGTTGCCTACCCGTCTTAACAAAGGCTTAGAATCCATACTCCAACATAAATGAGTGGCTTATTTTGAAATCGTTTTCAATGTCTATTCTGCTCCGGTGAGTACTGCTCACTATGCTATCTGGGTTTTGTTATTCGATTTCAATGCAGCAATCCTGATTATGATAGTAACTACATTTGAGTTCACAGAGTGTTTCTTTTGTTTTTACAGGCTAGCATGATAGAAAATTTTTCTGGTCAATAGAATAAGAAAATGTTTGGCTCTCAGGAAATAATGTTTTGTGGTTGGAAATTTAGGTATATATTCATTCAACTCGTGTTTCATAGAAGATTCTAACCATTTGTGGTCCATGAGCATAAATATCTGGCTCAAATTTTGTCAAGATTATTCTTGAACATCTCCATCGTTCATTAAGCATGGAGAAGAATAATAAAATATACTGCAAATAGAGAAAAGAAGGCTTAGGAAATATGATAATATCCATGCTTCTCTTTTCCTTTCTTATACTTCAATCAAATGCATTTCAGCAGCAGAATTTCTGGGGTCATGAATCCCTAGTGGTTGAAAAGCACTTCTTAAAGACTTGAAACTAGTTGGTCAAATACTATGAAGACCTCCATAACTGAAATTTAAACTTGTGTAAGAATGTAATTTCGGGAACTATAAAATGTGATATCAAAAGAAATGTTGTAGAGTACTCTTCATAATTCATAGATTCCACCAGTAAAGGAATGTATAAAACTAGACCAGACTCCATCCAGGACTGGCAATTTCAATTATGATTAAATAGGCTTGACTAGAAAATAGAAAAATAGAAAAGCAGATGCATGAGTGGTAGGTACAAATGATTCAAAAGAAGCTAAAAACAAATATAATGCTAGTGTTGATTTTTTAATGAAGTCAAACATTGTTTTTTATATAGTTATGTTTTGCAATTCTGGACATTTATTACTAACCCCTTAAAACAGTTTTTGTTGTGTAGGTTTCTTTCCCTACAGGAGTTAACCCTTTGGAAGTTTTTCTAAAGGAAGTTACTTGGAGCCACGAGGTTATATGTGATAAAATCTAAAGTAAAAAAAGATAGAAAAGTGAGACAAAAATACATCGAAAAGACAGAGAAACAGAAAAATATTGATCATCCAAAAAGAGTGTCAAATTTTTAGTTTGTAGGCACAAGAAGAATTTGCCAAGAGGGTGATGATCTGTTAAGTGTCATAGGATTCAGATATTACTTTCTATAAATTATGTACTTTTGTACTTTAGGGAGATCTTAGGCTTTAGTATGGGATGTGCTGATGTTTTAGTATTCTCTCACTAACAGCTAATTCCATGCACAAAGACGGTGAAGTTTGCTTTGCTATTCAGAACACTGCTGGATAGACTGAATAAGTATATTAGACTTTGTTCACAAGAATGTCCGGAGTGGTGAACTGGGTACAATCACTTAAACTAAGAAATCCCTTCATCACTCTTTATCCTTAGGATTAAGGATAGTGATAGGGATAGCCCTATCTATCTTATATACTGGTAGGCTCAGGCACAAGATCTGGAAAGGGAGTTTTTAGTCTTATTTTATTCCTTTTTGTAAAACTTTTCATTAATGATATTTTTGCCTTAAGGGCGTGCCACAAGTATTTTTATACTTGGGCAAAAAAGTTAAATCTTCTTCTGTCCAACTTTTTTATTGTTCATGCTTGTATTTTCATGGGTAGTATCACGGCTAGTGTGTACTATTAAGTTGTTCCATTATGTGTGCATTTAGTTAATTTAATTCAGTTTATGCTGTATGTTACATCAAATGTTAGTAACATTTTATGTCACGTTTCATATTTTTTCTGCATTTTAGGGACCTTTAATTCTTTCATATAAGTACCCCAAAGAAACTAATTTTAGAATGATCGGCAAGTGCAAAAACAAACACTCCTGATTGCCTGAATAAGAAGTATGTAAAACATACCAAAGAATGAACCATCAGTCCATCACTAAACACGAGAAATAGAGTAAACATGCAAGTACAACTCCCTATGGTTCATTGTCTTCAGCATCCAAACAATCAAGGGGAAGATAAAACTAGGATCCTCAATTCTTTTAGCTTGTAAGATTATTCAAAACATTTATGCCCAAAACAACATTATGAATTCAGAATGTAATGAAGATGTCTTCTTTCCGCCATGAAAAAGAACAGAGAAATCTCGAAATCGGAATGTAAGTCAAACACAAACAATTGAAAAATTAAAAAACCTTGAAACTTAACAACCTACCTGCAGTGACGGCACCGCCTGGCGAATTGAGGTACATATGAATAGGTTTGGAGGGATTCTCAGACTCGAGAAAGAGGAGCTGCGCAACAACAACGTGGGAAGTATCGTCGGAGATTGGGCCATTGATGCAAATGATGCGCTCCTTCAACAAGCGCGAGAAAATGTCGTAGGCCCGCTCCCCTCGCGACGAGTGCTCAATCACCATCGGTATCAGCCCGTACCATCTTCGGCCATAACCGACGCCGGGAACAGAAGAAGCTCCGGTAAACGAGTATTTGGAGGCTCCGATTTCACGCCATAGATTACGCGAGAACAAGCTTTGCATTATTGCTTGATTTTTAGGGGTTTTTCCTCAGTTGCTGTAACTGACTGCGGCAGAATTTTGCAGATGGAGTGAGTGAGTGAGAGAGAAAGCCAACGGGTTTACTGGGCCTTTGTACCTTACTTTATATGATATTAGGCTGGAGTAGTTTGGGCCTGTTTTGATAATATATTTACATTTCTGTTAAAACATTTAAATAAATATAAGAAAAACTTGGGCCAAATTTCCAAATAAGAGCCAATCTCTATTATGAGATTATGTTGAATAAGCCACAAAGTATACTATGATATTTTATTTCATAAAACAACAAGTCACATTTTTAATAATTTATTCTCATTCGTTTCACTATTTCATGTAATTTATATTAAATATTTAATAAAAATATTTTTATGGTCTAGTTTTTTTTTATATATAGCATTAGTGACATTCTTCAAGCGAAATCTATACTTATATAATAAGAATTAACATTTATCCAAAATAGTAGGTCAAATTATGGTCAATGTCGGATTTGCATTAAATATTTTCCAAAACTGGTAAGTTTTTGTCCTTTTCACACTTCTCATTAATTATGTCATTCACACTTCTCATTGATTATGTCCTTTTCACACATCTAATTAATTCATTAATTACGACATAATTATCATAAATCATTCCATCTGAGCTTTTATCGTTAAAATGTATAGCGATCTGTTATGACCTTATCCCATTGATAATTCCATGAAGTGTCCTTATCGCGTTCTATTTTTTGGTAACCACTCTATATCAATAATTGGATATTTGGTTAATGATAGCACACGTCTTTATTTCAAGGAACGGATATTCTTTGACCTTTAATTAATTTGAACTGATTGTCTTGACTTTTCAATTTTCAAAAACTCTTTTTTCAAATATTTCGGATTAAACAAAAATCCTATTTATTAAGTATTTATTTTAAACAATTAGGGAATGTATCCGAACCAAAATTTGGTTCATGATAGCACACGTCTTAATTTCAAGGAGTGGATATTCTTTGACCTTTAATTAATCTGAACTGATTGTCTTGACTTTTCAATTTTTAAAAACTCTTTTTTTAAATATTTCGGCTTAAGATTCGGATTTCATTATACAAGTCATCGGATTGTTTAAATGAAAATGAATGAAAAGAACACCAAAAACAGGTAGCCTTATTCATATAACCAATCCTAAAATATTAGTTTGTTCACCAAAAAGAGACAAATCCTAGAAATCCTAAAATATTAGTTTGTTCACCAATCTTAAAATATTAGTTTGTTCACCAAAAATATTAGTTTGATTTTTAGGATTTGTCTCTTTTGAAAATATTAGTTTGTGATAATGAGGAGTTACCAAATAATCAAACTCATAATATTGTGTACAAGGAGGTTTTTAATAATATATGATTGTTACCGAACTTTTTATGATTCAACAATGTTCCTATATATTTTAATGATTTCAATTTCGATCCTAATGCACGTTAGGTTATATTATTCTTCCAAATTTTACATCTCGTGCATCGCACGGGTTACGTACTAGTTGAGTTAAATATGATGTGTTCGACCACGTATTTGTTTAATAAATGAGAATATTTGACTCGACTCATTTAATAAGTTAATAAATTGAATTCAAGTTTTACGAACAAAAGTAAGTTGTGCTCACTTAATAGCTCAATTCGACTAACAACTCTATCAGTCTAGGGTAGTAAAAATTGTTGTTGGGTAGGGGTGTAGCCAACAACCCTTTAGAATCACTAATTTGACCAGGCTATCTTTAAGCTACCACTTGCAGTTGTTAATTATTTCTGTAGAGACAAAAGCCAAGTCCCCCATGTCATGTGTCACGCAAAACACTCCAACCGGCTTGAAATCGGTTTGCTTCCTTCTTCCTCGCCGATAGAACGCCGCGCTCCTGCACAGAACTCTCACACCGGAGGGGTTTTCGGTGAAGAGCCTCCGATGCTTAAGTCAGTATATGTTTGCTCAATTTTCCAAAGTAAAGAATGGATAAATCGTAAACCCTAAGAAAAGACCCACTCCTCTATATATAGGAGTGAGATACCTGCGCTAAGAGCTGCCCGGATATTTGGTGAGCTGTCCTGCCCGCGCTGCCCGTCCGTACACACGCAGTACGTGTATTGTCAGAAATGTCAGGGACGTCAGAGGTGGTTATTGCCACTATTACTCTGCACCACTAGGTTCTCGCCACGTGTCCCCTTTTGAGCTGAGGGGAAATATTCCTTTGCGTGGGCCGTTGGGATCCCTTGATATCACCCACGCGCTTACTCACGTTCAGGTCACGCTCTCGACTGCCTCCTTCCTGCTACGTGCTCGATATGATCGAGCTCCCCCTCGCTAGGTCGATCCTCGACCAACCCTGCCATTCTGCTCGATCTCTTCTGCTTTGGTCGATCATCCTTCAACCCACGCGGTTTTCTCCCAACTTATGCCGGTTTGTCCGACGTGATGGGCCGGTCTGTTCTTTAGTCATATGATATCCCATATCATCTAGTCCCCCCCCCCACTCTGGTCGAGTCTGAATGACTCGATCTAAGAGTGAGTCCGAGCTGTCTTCTTCGTTCTACGTATTTTTTTCCGATTATTTTTGTCGATGTCGCCTTCTGGTCTCCTCTCTCGATCACTCTTGTTGATGTTGTTACCTTTCCTCGACCACGTGGTTTCTTTTATTGCATGCTATGATCGCTTTTCATCTCTCTTTATTATTAGCGCGATTTGTGCCGCTCCGATATCTACGCCTCTTTAATTGCTTCCGCCGTTGGATCTTCCTTTATCTAACGGTCCTATTCTCCCAACTCTTCACCTTATTCAATTGTACTCCTATAAATACGATACTTAGTCATTTTTGCAGCTTTCCTCACCTTTGCGATTTCGAATCTCCTTTGTGCTCCGCACTTTCTTTCTGCAGACTGCTCTTGCCTACTCTCAACACCTGTTCAAGCACTTTCCGGCAACCACTTCTCCACCGCGACCATGAGTAAGTCTCCTGTGCTCCAATTTTATATTTACGCGTATTTATCTTGTCAATTTTTCGATTTTCCTGTTACTTCTTCCTTTTCCCCAATTCTTCTCGCTTCACTTGCGACCAAAAGACCCACCTTTCTTGCTTTTCGAAACCCTAATTCTTCTTCTTTTCCCCTCAATTTTTTGTTCTACTTTTTCAGATTCCGCCGATTCTAACGCATCGAGCCGTCCGTTCAGTGGGGATGAGACAAGCGCGTCGTCTTTCCCTCTTCGCCAGCTTGTCCCTCACTCACCCTCTCGCTCTGTTGAGGAAATCTACAATCCCGTTCCCATCAGCATTTTACGCCCTTCCGACCACGCCACACCTTCTCCTTCTTGCCCCTCTACTCGTCTGATTGACGAATCAGATGAGGATACCCTCGATCACATCCCTCTAAGGCGCCGCCGACCGGCGTTCGGGGCTTCTGACGCCGCCGAGGAGGCTCTCGATGCTGCCGAGACCGCCGCTGAGGATGATGAAGATACTGTTCCTCTTTCTCGCCACTCTGTGTTTGCCAAAGCTGCCTCATCGAGTAAGCCGAAACAAAACGTTTCTTCCTCTCCCATCTCGAAACCCTCCAACACTCCTCTCTCACCGACCCGCTCAGGTCCTACTGCTGCGCCCTCCAAGCCTACTAAGAAGAGGAGGTTAGTCAAGGCTTCTTCCTTGAATCAGCCCACTTCTCACTCTCTCATCGCCGGCTGGTTGGACATCAACGAGGTTGGTCACCGGCTAAGTGGGCGTTCGTATCTCCCAGTCCTAAGGACACATATGACAATCCCCCCAAGGGTTGTTATACCTTTTTCGAAGTGCAGTTTAAGCTTGGTATCCGCTTCCCATTGTGCCAAGATCTGATCGACATCTGCCGGTGGTTCGATCTGCCCTTGAACCAGCTCCCTCCCAATGCTATCCGATTCATTACCATTTTCATCATTCTTTGCCATGTCCGTCTAGGTCGGCTCGACCTCGATTTCTTCCACTATTGCTACACCCCCTCGAAACACCCTCAAGGGCTCTACCTCAAAGGCCGAGCCGATATTCACTTCATCTCCGACACCCCCACCAACGTCCCGAGGTGGAGAGATAGGTTCGCCTTCGTTGAGCCTAGTCCTGCCTTCCCTTGGGAGCCAATTCCGTGGCGTAAGGAGCTCACCCGTGATACCGCGGTGCCTCCTCAGAATGCCCTCTTCGACCAACGGATCGCTGTTTGGAACACCAAGCCTGTTGCGTCGAAGACTTTACTTGAGGATGAAAACCTTTTGCATTACTGTGGCCTTCTCACTCACAAATCACTTCCCCTTCCTTCCCCTAAGATATTCGATCTTATTCGAATTGTAGATGATACAGGTATTTGCATTTTATTAAGTGTGCCCGACCTTATTGTATTGCTATATGATTTTGCCTGCTGTAACCCTGGCTTTATTCATGATTTTTGACAGAGATGCCGACTATCTCTGTGCCCAAACGGAGTGCTCCTCTCAAAAGGAAGCAACCTGGTGAGGGGTCGAGCTCGAAACCGGCTAACTCGATCGCCTCCCAGTCCACCCGCTCTGCTTCCCCTCCTCCGAACATAACCGTCGAGCCAACTCCTTCAGTCAACCTTCCAACCGAGCAGCCCCTCGAGCCATCAGAGCAGCTCGAGAAACCGTCCTCTACACCGCCTTCCTCTCCTCCGCTGCGTTCTCCCACGCGCGATCAAACGACCCCGGTCGTACATATCCCTGCTTCTCCAGAGCAAACCCAGCTAGTGGAGAATCCACTTAAACGCTCCACTGCTGGGGAAGACGAAAATGTTACCAAACGCCGCCGCGTTGAGGAGACTGCCCTCTCGATCACAACGCTCGACGGTCTGGGGTTTTCTCATTATCTCAGAGATGTTCTTCCCCCCGTCGACCGTCCCACCGACCATTATAACGATGGTCACTCCCTTCGCGATCGCGGCCAACGGCTTGCCCACTGGCTGGCTCAGGTATCTTACTGTTTCTCAATGCCTGTCCATTTTCATTTTTTGTCTTTCACTTGTTAAGTATTCCAACACTTTCTATTACGTGCCCCTGTAGGGAATGGTCGAGCTCGCGCCCTTGA